TGCTTCGCGCTTCGATTTATCAATGCTCGATCCTCCCTAAACGCTGCGACTATCGCTCATTTTTTCCGAGTTTTATTTACCACTAACTTTTATTTACCTCCACTAGTTCAAATTTCAGCTCAAATTTTGCTATTTTTTTACCAAATATTCACTCCCAAAAGCAAACTTTATTACTCCATTTGAGTCGCTTGACCAGCAAAAGCTTGCCAAACATTCGGTAAAAAATTTATCGAAATCATTCGAGGTCTAGTGAATTTTTTTCATTCAAAAGCAAAATAATTCGTGCAATTCAATTGTTTTGGTAAGCAATAGATCATTTTTATTCTACCAAAAAAGTTTTACAATTGCAAAATGGATTGTTTTGATAGGTATAAATCTGCCGGTAATTATCGACTGTTACTTTAGTTGCAGCGCCGACTAAGTTGAGGAGTCTTGAGTGTTAGAGAAGTGACAGGTAGCGCCAAATTAGCCGTTATTTGCTACTAATTTAGTATCTTTACCACAAATGGAGGGTTTTCAATCTTTGTTCCGTTGCACCTAATCAACTAAACTTACAATTGAGGTAAAATTTTTGATAACGTACAGAGAATACTCAGGCTTGAATGAGATACGCTAACTTCTAGATCAATTTTCAATAATAAGTATCTAATTAGAGACAAAATACTAATTAATAAAAATTAAAGAAAATTTTCCAGATATAACAAAACAATATGATCGTCTGTCAATTGTTTCTTTTATTTTACATTTAAATTTCAAAATTTTCCATTTTAAATTATAATCTGAGTAACTATTCAAAATTGTTATTTGCTGTTAGTCGAATTAGTCAATTAATTTATCAAAAACATAAATTAAAAATCTAATTACTATAAAAATATTCCAACTCTGTCTATCCGTACAGTTTTTGAAAATTTTGTTCTTAATTTTAAAAAACAAATTCCTGAGAAGTGAATAAAATTTTAAGAAACTAAAATGAAACTCTTTAGATCGAATAACAATTAATTCTGAGAGTTAATTTTAACAATTCATTTAAGCCGCTTACTTTATTCGTTTTCATTCGATATGCGTGACTACATTAACTCCTGTTGAAGTTCTATAGTTATATCAATACTACCCGATCAAAAATTCGATTTTGAATTATCAATAAAATATTTGATAAAAGACCGGAAAAATAAAAAATATTTATTTTTTTTCGAATTCTAGTCAATTTTTAACGTAACTAGAACAGTTTGCGTAAGTTTAAAACATTTTGCTTAGAGTTTTCTATGGACTAAAAAAAACTCCTATATCAATATTCGATCAAAAATACGATTTTTGAATTATCAATAAAATATTTGGCCCAAGATAGAAAAAATAAGAAATACAATTTTTTTTTTTAATTCTAGTCAATTTAACGTTACTCCAAGGAAATAAAAGTGTTTTTTCATTCACAATGTTTCTTATGCAAAGAAAAAAACTTGGTATTGCTCTACTAACAATACGCGGTATTTTACTTAGTACTATACGTATACTGCTCAGAAGTATACCTATACTGATTATCACAATATTTTAATTTACTATAGCCAGAATACCTAATTCAAAATGAAATGATTGCAACATCACTTTACTCACATAATTTAATTTTTTAATAAGTATTTTAATGAATAAAAATTGGAATTATAAGTGCGTAATAATAAATGTTAATTTTGAAGTTATATAAAAAATTGTAATTTTTTATAACAATTTTTCTAATTTATTTTCTGAGTATATATTATAAATACACTGGACACCAATATAAACTCAATATATGCGGGAAAACTAAAAATTTGAAAAGCTTTCTTATATATTGAAAAATAGCATCACACCTTGACTATCGAGAAATCATGTATTCTCTTCTGATTAATCACCTCAAACAATTCCTTCTATCAGCATGTTACACTCAAAAGTTTGCATCTAGGATTGCAAGGGTTAAGTAAAGCTTTGTATCAAAGTGAATATAATCTTGTTACCAAACTAAACGCAGATTACATAATTATAACGATGATTATAACCACTTGAAACATAACTCAAGCTCCAGTGATGACACATGTGAAATCCTGAGGTAATTGGCTCAGGAGTAGACAGTCGCAATTATCTCGACAAAGTTATATCCAGATTCAAGTATGCACTGGAGTTGTATTTAGCTGGACTGGAGGATAAACTCGAGCAAGAGGGATTGGAATCAGAATCAGAGAAGGAGAAGGACCAAGAGCAGGAACAGAAACAAGAGTAGAGCAACTACGGAGTAGATTTGATTATACAGCTCCCAACTAGACTTTGTCAGAGCCACTGCTAGTTCTGTTACCGCTGGTTCAATTGACACAAACCTACGTTTATTAATTGGTAATTGGTGAGGTGTAAACCATCCGGGAATTCCCGCTACTCCAAACACTACATCCTGCATTCATCTGTAGAAAGTGTTTCATCCCTCAATTCAAAGTTTATTAATGTTTTAATTAATAGGGTTGCAATTATAAACTTCGCTCTCCGGACATACGATACATTGAATTATCAAACTCTTAGCGAAGGTAACAAGCATACCCATGGCATTTACATTATTTAGTTTCCGTTAGACCACCTGTAAAAAAATGTCATGACATGGCCTTATCAGAAAATTTTATGTGTCCCTATATGGCTTAACATTTCCTGATGTGACTTGATTTGTTCATGTTAGGCTTCATATAGTCTATAAGCTCATATATAACTTTTCGACCACATATAGCATTGAAAATTTCTGCCGTAGAGCGCATATCACCTAAAAATCAAGATCCTAATATTATGTCATATAAAATCGTATCTGACAATTATGTACTTATACTTATATATTATATCAAAGTACAGTTTTAAAAAGAAAATTGATCGTTTAACTTATTAAATAGATATTTATGTCATAAGGCCGTGAAGTGGCGGTTTTCTGACAGCGACGATATTTCGATATGAGCTTAAGGTTTGTGGCGGGAAGGTTCGATACGGGCGTCACAAACATTAAAGCGAATATCGAAAAAAAGTCGTCAAAATCGCCACTAAACAGCCGAATGACATACAATATTTTTTGTTATTATCGCTCTATAAGTTTAACTTTTGAGGGATAGGAGGCAAATAATGACATATTTAAATTTTAGGAAGTTTCACAAGGCCAAAAAAAATTAATTTTATATTAATTATCTTTTTATTAATCTTAAAATCTTGCTAACGTCCAGAAAATGTAAATAACTTTTTATTAGTATTTATTTATGGCATTGTTGTTATTTTATTAACATTAGGTCCGCTTCGTAATAAACTGCCAGCAGAGAAATAATTAGCGCCACTCAATAGTAACTAAGACTAAAAATTATCGGTCGGTACGCTAGAATGTGACTTTTTTTTTACAATCTCTCTCAATTTCGTCTGGGTGTACATGAAAAGTTCGTAAAAAAAGGAGGGGGTAAAACTTCACGGCCTAGGCCGTGAAAAAAAGACGGTATGGTAGAGTCTCTAGAAAAGAGTCCCTTTACGGACGCCACCTAGCGCTCAGAAGTTGAACTTCTGGAGCGAGTATAACAAAAAAGACTATTTGGCAGCCGAAATGGAAGTAGATTTCATTTGATTACATATCAATCGAAATTACAAGTGAATACAAGTGAATTTTAACGTATGATTTTTATTATAATCACTACAATAAAAGTTTTCTAATGAAAAAAATAAAATGAAAATTTTATAAAACAATGCAATAGCAAATTTTATAATTGACATAGCGGAATAGGATATAATTTTGGGACTACACATATAATATGGTACTCAAATTGAAGCTTATTTAAAGAGCTTTTAGATGCAATTTACAGATATTCAATAAGTTATCCCATTCAAAAGTTATTCGAGTAAGAAAATGAAGAAATATGAATATTTATGATTTTGAAAATTTTGAAATTCCGGCATTTCTGAATTACATTACGCACGCTTCATAATTATATCAGATATAGTTGCACTGTAAAAAAAGCGGTGTTAAAATGGACTCATTTTAACACCTGTGTATTAACACCGGTGTAGCGGTGCTCTTTTGCGGTGTTAAAAATCCAGAAATTTAATTTATTAGAACAAAATTAATAACATTATGAATTATTTTTTCGACCGTATTGTATATATGCTCCCTAAAACTGAATTAGTGAAAATTCGTCAAATAAGTGAATATTCACTTAACTTAAGTGTCAATCGAGCCACTTTTTAATGTCAGTGGCTCGGTTCTCACTTAAATAAGTGAATATTCACTTATTCATGTTTAGAGAGTGTACATTAAAGTTTTATCGCCTTAGCGGTCAAGTGAACTAGTACATCTAATTCAAGCCAACGGATGGACATTCCATCTTCACTAATAGTATTCAAGCTTCACTAGTATTCAAGTTCATTGATGGATCCCCATCGAACTTATGTAAAGAGATAATATGTCTCTCGACTAATAGCGAAGCTGGAATGTCCATCCATTGGCTTGAATTAATAGAATTTTTATTAAAGTTTTTTCAAAAAATTATTTAACTAATTGGATATAATGAAATTATAGTGATAATAACACCATCGAATCGACTTCAGGTATTTTAATAAAAATTTAAAATCAATTATTTAAACTAGAAATATTCTATCGTTTTTTTCGATGGATTAGTTGCTGACTTTTAATTAATTTTTTTCTATGGACAGTGAATTGACGATCGGGAATTCTTATCAGTACAAAAAACTCGGCCGTAATTGGGTTGTTATTATAAAAATTGAAAAAATTTCTTATCTAAAGGAATGTGCGAAGTTGCAATATCGACATGAACGATGACGTGGAAGCACAAAATTCAAGTATATTTACCAGGAGTTTTTTTGAACTAAATCACAAATTATCAATGACAGTTAGACTGATGTACGTATTGGATTTATTCTAATTTATCAGACACCTATACTTGTTTATACTCACTTGATAATTATAATTTTTTAATTTTCCTATTATCTAAATATCATAAAAAGTTAAAATGAAGACTGAAAATTGTATTTTCCTCCTGTGTCTGCACTTTGGAATAATTTTCTCTGGAGGATTTTCGTTCTCAAACGATCTAACTGAGATCGACGACAACCAAGAATTCACAGTAACAACTAAGGGTGAGTTTAAATATTTAAACATTAATTTTCTGGACTTAATAGAATTAGAATTTCTGTGTTTGTTTTGCGGAAAAATTAATCCAGATATCAAAATATTTCATTTTAAACTTTCGATGCAGGTATAGCAAGTTAATTTTTGGTCACTTCTATCTTAATATGCCTAAATTATTAATGTCAGCATAAGTATAGAAAAATTTGCTGATTATTTATAATAATAGTTTTTAAATAATTGACTTTAATTCATTCCACCAATCAAATAGCGTTGAAGGAATTGATGCAGACTTCTAGAGATTTGTCCACCGTGTGTGCTATCTTTTCAATCTGTTCTAATGTTACATTTATATCTAAACTCAATAAAACCATCATCGACAAGAAAGAAACAACGAATAGCTCAACAACAAAAGGTATAATTTATTTTCATTGTTATTTGTCAATTTAATAATAATAATAATAATAATAATAATAATAATAATAAGGGCGCGCAGTAGCCTATCGGATCCAGCCCTTGCTTACCAAAGCATTGGACCGGGTTCGAGTCCGGCGTACACCAATGAATATTTTCAATATTTAAGAGTATAATACTGCTCAGCCCAAGGAATAAAACGAGTTCCAATCTCAAAAGTTTACCCCCTACCGTGGTCGCTCATGACCTTAGTAGTTTATGCGACTTTAAACAAATTAAGAAAAAAAAAAAAAAAAAAAATAATAATAATAATAATAATAATAATCGTGTCTCAGAAACTAAAGAAATTTGCTCTAAAAAAGAGGACTGCCGACATGAAAAAGCTGAATGCATTGCTAATCAATGTCAATACCATTCTTACAACCTTGACAAAAAATCCTATTCCCATCTTAATGAGAGGTGTACCGACTCATCTGATTGTATGACTACTCGGTTAGTGTGTCAGAATAATGGATGTGTGAAGTCGAATGTAACCATGGAAAGAAAAAATTGGTGCCACCATAAATTAGGAGGTCAGTTACAATAATTATTATCAGAAATGATTGAGAATTTGAAAAATAAAGTAAAAATTTTATTTATAAATCTTGAATATTTTGTGAATTTAGCTTCAGTCTGTTGGGGTCCAGAAAGGGGCCAAGAATATCCGAATATCGAATGCTTTATAAAAAATAACATAGGTATATGGCTTATAAGAGAAGATACAATTCACCCTGAAACTCAACCGGGAGAATGCGATTTTAATTATTCTATTCACACAAGTCTATTCGCAAATCGAGTAAGTAATTATAAGTTACCGATAACAATAACAACTCTCACGGATTAATAGATATTAATTTCACTGTGCTTACTTAGATTCGATATTTTTTTTTAATAATTGGACTGACCGATTTCTTCTTTTATTTTTTAGTTTTTACAGGACGATGCAAAGTTGGTATGGAAAAACAGTAGTACCGCCGATCTAAGCAAGGCTGTGTATGCTGGAATGGGAAATGATCAATCACCTACTTTGATTTGTCAGACTGTGCTCGGCCCTATTAAGTTTGTTGGAACATCGTTTCCACCTTATTTTCATTGTTCGCATTTTGAAAAACATGGATCCTTTGGGTCCACTGTTAAATTCAATATCTTAGTACATGACGACTAAGTTAGACCCAATGTATCACTACAATTAATATCATTAATAAATCCAATATACAAAATTCCCGCTAATTCCATATCTAAGCGCTTAAAATTGCACTTATGACGTTTTTGAGCTCTTCGAGCTCAAAAATATAATTTATGTGTTATTTTGAGCTCTTTAAGCTCAAAGAGTTAGCTGTTCTAAGCTTTTGAGCTCTTCGAACTCAAAAGTCTGATGGAAGTTTTAACGGAAATTGAAAAAAAAAAATTTTTACCTAATGTTTGAGAGGGGCCGTCGTGCCCCAGGTTCCCCTAATTAATTTTTTCGGCTGGCAATTGGAGAAATTTTCTATCCTTTGAGCAGCTATCTATAAAAATTCATCTGTAAATCCAGCTTAAAGACAGCTAATACTATACTCAATTTTTTTGGTGACCTACCGCGGGTAATAGTCTTAAATTGGTTAGTTTTTTATGATTCACTTATCGGAACGAAAGAGGGCGTTTAATCCATATGAAAAAATATTATCGGAGGAAAAATTCAAACGAGCTTTAAAATTAAATTGTGAATAAAATTAATTTATTGTAATTTATTTGTAATTAACTTATTTTTTAAATTATTTTTTCAATTTATTCTTGTAGTGTACAGTAGATAATTATTTTTTTTATCTATCGACATTTGATTAAAATTATCAAAAAGTTGAATATCGTATTGTGGCTATTGGTAAAAACTTGTTGTATATTCAAACTTTACTTCGATTAATTTACGTATGCCTCGAATTCCTAAGGTATGTCCAATACGATTTATCAAATTTTTTTTTTTAATTATTTTTTTATTGGACATGGGTACATGTGATTAGGCAAAACCATATATGATCAAATGTGGAAATTGTCCGAATGTTGATTTATTAGAAAAAATTTTTAATGATGACGTGATATAGATTTTGTTTGACTGTACTAATTAAAAAATGGATTTCAGTGACATATTTATTTAAAAAAAAAAAAAAAGGAACGAGACCGACATTTCCCAGGTGGGCTAGCACAGGACTAGGTTGCAACCTCGATTCTATTTCCCACGGGAACGCTTTAAATACGAACCGATCGTTAAATCGCATCCTTATCTACGTGACCTTGTCCTACAATTTGCAGGACTTGTCATGAAACCGCTTTCCCCGAGGAATGCCGCTCAATTCAGCCTGATATTTTTTATTTATGGGGTGAATTTATATAATTTCACTTCCGAGGACTTTAATGGTTGCAATTAGTAAGACCTTTAATGGCCATGAGCTCTTGAAAACATGTATGGAAACTCACAGGAATTGATGCACGTCAATTTGTTGACAAAACTTTTAATTGAGAAACATTTATTTCAAATTTAAAAAAGACCTGAATGGAAGTAGATTTCTCATCGTTACAAAAAATGTTTTCATCAAATGTACGAACAATTTTTTTTTTAGGAAATGAAACTACTACACTGAAAAAAAAAAAGTATTTTACCACTCACAATATTTCTTATGCTAAGAAAAAAACCGTAGTTAGGTTTCCATAAAATCTACTAAAAAACTTCTACGTCAGAAATGCAAGATTTTTTTGTTTCAGAAACATCAAGGATCACTTGTTTTCGTAGATTCTTCATGTGTTTGCACATATTTGGATAGCTTCTCTGTTACTACGCGTTGGTTGTTTGAAATGTAAGCAACCAATATTACAATGTAGAACAAATACTACTTTGAATCCAAATAACTGTTTTTGTAATATAAGTATAAATATTACCATTTCAAATGTTAATATTTACTAAACTATAATTCAATCCATCTGAAAACATGCAAAATATTGCAAATATGGTTCAATTCCGTTTCTAGGGATCAGAATATATTTGGATAGAAGAGGAATCAACAAATAGCTTCTTTTGTTTCGAATTATTCAAGAGTTAGTTACCTTTGGTCGCGATTGAAGAGCAAATATCAAATAGTTAGGTTTGTCACCACCAAAACAAACTCGACTATTTACTTGTTCTAGTCGCCGTTGAAGTGGTGGTAATAGTTCCAGCTTAATTGTGCCGTTATTAACGATTTATTGCAGTACAATAACACAATAATACAATCGATGCATGTTAAACAGTAGAAGCTTTGTTAAATATTGTACATAGCTCTCAATGGTCCACTTCGGTAGACTTGCATTTAAATTGGTTCGCAATAGTTTTTAGTAAAATAAAACTTTTAATTTGACATCTCAATTGCACGGAAAAAAGTTGTAGAAAAAATTACAATTGTTACATCGTAATCCAGGGCTAGATTTTCAATACGGTCACTTTGATAGTTTTTTCATTTTAAAATTAACGATGTTAATACATTGTGAAAAGTCTAATCATTGAAACAAAAATCTACGAATACACATAAATAGATGCAGTTGTTACAGTTAAAAAAAAAAAGTTTTGGGTGTAAATGTCAGAACGTAGTGAATATTAGTCATTAGAACTTAACCTCACCGTGCTTGATAAGTACATTTATCATCAATTTATTTAAATCTAGCTGTGACTCACCCGCTCCGCTAGGCGCTTTATAAAATTGCATTCTTAGATCTAGACTTGAAATTTAATTAGAGTATTGTTTTGATTTGCACAGATTCCCAATTTTATCCAATTGGCATGCACCTTTTATCCATGTAATTATTCTAGCTAATATTCATTGTAACTTTTAATGTGCAATCACTATAACATTCCCGTGTCTTTCTTACAAAAATGAATAATAATTGATATGAAAAAAAAAAACATTTGTAATGAGCATTGAAAGTTTCAGTTAAAGAAATTGCAGGTCTCATAAGTGAAGAAATCTGCCTAGTATATAAACATAACCAATAGAATTAAAAAATTTATTTTAAACAAATGACAATAAAATATAATAAATTTAGTTACAATTAAAATTCATTATTTCTAAGTCAAAAAAATATAGATTCCGGATAAGTAATCACCAACATATCACATACAAAAACCTTCTCGGAAACACGCTGCATCTAATGGTTAAGTATTGTTCCGACCGGTTCAGGAGTTTTCGCAGTATAACCGAACAAAAAAAACGGCTCTCCAATATATATTATTAGTATTTCTCAAAACAATTGAATATCAAAGATTGATTATCAATTATTTTTATTCGAAAAAATATGTTAATAATTGAAATAATACTGTGGTCAACAATTGATGTTGTAAATTATCCAATGTATCTAATATTATAATGGCTCCGGCCATTGGTTTAAATATGAGTACTGAAGATAATATTGTATCGGAATATATAACAACCAACAACAATACTGAAATTATTAACATATCAGTGAATAGATGACCTAATGTCGAAATTATTATAGATTAAAAATAAAAATTATTTATAAGTCTACACGGAAAAAAATTTCTAGGAAAATTTATGATCAATTATTGTTAAGCTGGATAATACTTTCATTACTATTAATTATCAAATATTTTAGAAGAAAATTTACTATTTATTCATGAAATTTTACAACTTACGATTAGAAAAAGTACGATATTACTATTGTAAAAAGTTAGAGATTAAAATTTCCAGTGCTGCCTCTGTATCTTTCCAATAGAAGTATAACAAATTTTATAATAGTTGAATTGGAATGTTTTTCAATTTGTGTGAGTAATGGCCGTGCACAGCGCTAGACTCCGAGTTTATGTAAATGTTGAAGGACTTTCATAGTAGTCTACCTCGTACAGCGCAGAGGGAGAGTCTCCGGCTGCCAACAAAGAGTACTAGGTTCGATTCCCGGATAGGATAAAAATTCCAAGAGAGAGATACCCCCCTAAAATTTCTTTTGAAAAAAATCGACTATCAATTTTTACAATACTTGAATTGTAATGTTCACAAACACATATTGTATAATTTGCTCTATAGTATTCGACTTTTTAAGTCTCTCGCTAGTATTGTTTGTTGGATAAAATAAATGAGAAGTATAGTCCACCGCTACTATTTTATTTAATAAAAATTACGATAGTAAAATAGTAAAAATTCCTTTAATTTTCTTTCCGTGTAGTAAGCATACTACCACTGGTCAATATTTGGAACATATGTGGTCAATATTTATTAAGTAATGGTCGATATTTGGAGCAATCGGCTGTAACGTTAGTTATTACAATTTAATGTTTATTATTAAGTATTTAATAAATAAAAATATTATAGTTTGTAAGTTGAAACTATAAAAAAAGCATAACACTCATTTCAGCTTATAAACTCTTCTAATAATTCCACAAATAATGTGTTAATGTTCATTTTCTCTTAACCGGTCAATATTTTGAATCTTTGTAGATATTAATTCAGTAGTTTTTTTCATTTATAAATTTAATTGCATTTTAAAAAAAGTTTCTTTACTTATTAACACAAATAATTTTTTTCCTGATGATTAGATTTCGATTTTTCTGTGGACCATTAATTGGTAATACGAAAAAAATTCCACAGACAAAACAAATCAAATTAAGGAGATAAACTTGGGTTTGAGGGTAAAAATGAGAAAGAGGGTGTCGGATTTCAGAGTGAGACCTAATAGGGATAAAATAGAAGCGGACTCAACTGATTATAGCAAAATGGACTGTAGTGTGGCTTCGCGTGTCTGAACAAAGACACCTGAGCAGTTAAGCCTCGAAAAATTGAGATCGCGCAGAAAAAGCTGGTACACATTAGCTCGGAAAATTCGCGATAAAACTTTCTGACATTTTTTTAGTTCTCCTGCAATACTCTACAATTTTTGTTCCAATAAAAAATTTCTTTTCGCTTAAATTTTTTGGAGAATAACTTGAGTAGCAAACAACCAGCCGAAAATTTTTTAGTACTTAGTTTATTCTTTTTTCTGAATAATTATTATTTAATAAAAATTCCGCCTTTATCTTAAAAAAAAGTTTGAAAAATTAAAAATTGCACACCTCAAAAAGAAAAATTATTTATTATGAAAACAATATGGAAAAGACGGAAATTTTTTGACCACTGAACCACGCGCAGAACTTTTGAGCAAAAAAATGTTTAC